ACACACACACACACACACACACACACACACACACACACACACACACACACACACACACACACACACACACACACACACACAGACACAGACAGACATACCTTAGCAACTTCTTTATTTCACATAGCAACCGATAAAAATCATTCAAGATGTATAAGTAAAATTGAGCTATTCTTATTGTTACTGTTTATTGTTATTGTTAGAGTAAAAGAGAAAAAAAAGAAAAGCAAACAATTATGTTGTTTTTTTAATACTGTCAACATTTGTTATATATTTGAGTTAAACGAATATTTACTATTAATGTTGGAAAGAAAAAATTCAAGTAATCTAGCTGCTTTTATTGTTATTGTTTGAGTAAAAACAAATGTTTGTTTTAGTTATCATTGTTATTGTTTGAGTAAAAAAAAGACTAAATGTTTATTGCATATTGGATAAGTTTATTTCTCTATTTTCATTTTTCTTCTTCCTCTTCCTCTTTCTTCGTCTATTTTTCTTCTTCCTCTTCTCCAACTTTTCTACATCTTTTTCTAAGCTTTTCATTTTTTGAAAATAGCTTAGTTTTAAGGCATGGATTTATAAAAGCCTAAACATCCCTTATTTTCTGAGGATTACAATTGGGTTAGGACAATTTTATACTAAGAATATCATCCAAGAGATATGTGTGTGCATTTGATGACACTTGAATGAAAACATATTATTGATCAAGTTTGCTTCCTTATTGACTTTTATTTCGGGAGAAAAACGAGTAAGATTTGAAAATTTTATCAATAAAATGATCAGTTTTTAAAAAAAAAAGTAATAAATTGCTGATGACAGGTATGATAAATAAATTAATGGAAAAGCAAATAAAATACGGGTAAAATTTTTGAGAAAATTGGGAAAATTTAATGAGATTAAACAAACATTCATTCTAATTACGCATCTCACGTACTCTGTCCCGGTAATTACCGAAATATTTGCTTCATGAATTCCATGTTAATATTGTGATGATTACAAAAAATAGTAGATTGATTGTATAGTTTGCAATGAAAATATTTTTATTCAGGAAAGAGTCATTTATTCACAATCTTCAATAAACATTTCAAATTTACCCGAACAGATCATGACTGATTTTCATAACAATATCAGTAACCGGATGATAATCCGATGATAACCAGATAATCAGGAGTATCTTGTTTGATGTTTTTAATTTCTTCAAATTCAACAACAGCCTGATCATATGCAAATTTTTATTGCTATTCTAGAAATCCTCTAATTCGTCGAACTAACAAAATGTCTCTAAATCAAACATACAATGCAAATGGTTCCGGTTGAATGATTGATAATTATCAATAAATCCGGATAAATTTCATTATTGGTTATAGGCATATTTTTGAATTGATAAACAGTAAAATACAGAAAAATACTTCCTAGCAATTCATGAAATTTTATTGTACGAATCTTTTATATTGTAGAAGGAAAACATACTTATTTCTCGTTGTTGGCAAACATTTATCAATTGTCGTGGATTTACTGGCAATTATCAATCATTATTAACTTCGTCATTAATTAATGACTCCGTCATTAATCAAAGAAAATGTGCTTGAGCCTAATTATAGTAATCTAAAATTCACACCTTGAAAGCACAATTATTTTGAAATCAACAATCTAAGAAGGATATCATTGATGAGATTCCTCTCATGGATGTTTTAGCAATTGGTAAAACTATGATTTTAATTATCGATATCTTCACTGATCGTTCCTTGGAGAGAGATTAAAATATTTCGTAAGCTTATTCCCATTCTACCGCGACAATTAACGCAAAAATTTTTTACTTCCCATTTCAATCACATGTCTTTACATATCATTATTCTTTCATGTGTTATCATCACATGTCATTATTCTTTCACGTACCATCACGTGTCATCTAACGTTAGCCTAAATTTGATAATTTTTTATAACTACATAAATGATCTTCATTAGACAAGTCAAAATACTTTAATAATTCAATCGCTAAACTCACACTCTTCTCTTACATATGTATCATTTCTGTATCACAATGGTTGAAGTCTTATAAAATTAACAATTTTGTCTATATTATCCAAGAAAAAGAAAACATATTTGCTAATATTTTTCATAAACTTTATTTTAAATCTAAAATAATTTTATGAGTATTGTCATATATATATATATATATATATATATATATATATATATATATATATATAT